TTTTCTCTTCTTGGTTCCTGCTGGCACCCATTTACCAAATTGTGCACTAGGCTCTAAGCCCCCTTCCTCACCTCTTGGAGTATCCCCACCCCCGAGATCTCAGTTCTCTCTGGCTTTTGGCACATGGCTCGGCCACTGTTTGCCTCTTTTCCAGACTGGCCCCGCAGTGGGTTTCTTCTACTCATTTGGGATCCTCAAGACCACCCCACGCCTTTGCACCTGCTGTACCTTTGGTCTGGCAATCCCCTGAAGTCTACACAGCCCACTGTCCCATCAGGTCATAACCATCCAGGGCCACCTCTGCAGGGAAGCCTCCAACCACTGCCTCCCTTTTCCTGCTTCATCTCTGTAGCATCTATGGAAACTCACTTCTCAGGGCCAACTCTTGTCTCCCCCTCATGGAATGCATGGAATCTCCGCGAGCCTGACTTCACCCCTGACAACCATGATGAGATGGCATTGTAGTGGTCAGCCCCAAGGGCCACCCCACATGGGGCCATGGAAATCCCAATCACCAGCCGAGGCCTTCAGTGAGAAGTCCTGGTGTCAGAGGGGAAGGGGCCTTGGAGTCCTGGCCCCAGATCTCCTTGCTGGTCCCCTCTGGAAGTTCCTCTGGGGGCTGTCTGTCTATTCTCAGGTTCAAGGACTGTGTTCATTGACAAGCAGGGGATGATTCTGTTGTGATATTCTCAGGGGAGGACATTCGTTGGGAGATCACAACCCCCAAGGTCAGGGGAGTCAGGGTGCAGACCTCTGTGGTGGGGCCTTAGGGCCAGGCATGTGGTAGACAGAAAGGCCCCACGTTCCTGGAGACTGAACTCCATGTAAATGAAGCCCTGATGGGCAGGCTTTCTAAACAGAAGTGTTGCTTAGGGACCTGTGATCCCCTCCCCAGCAGCATTGCTCCTCATCGTGGAGGTTGAGAGCCAGCCCATTGGGCTGTGGAGGGCATGGAGGATCAGAGAGGTGAAGTGAGTCGCCCAGGGCGGCCCGGCTTGGGAGGCCAAGCCTGCATCTCCCCAGCCAGATACAAAAGCATCAGATTAAGTCACAGTGAAGGGTTCTGATACCCTTAACTGAATCCTTTTCTGCTAGACTGAAGGTTGTCTCTACTATCATTGTCACGTGGCTAAGGAGGCCTATTATCGTGAGACTTCACAGATGAGGAGACTGAGTCCCAGAGAGGTTGAGCAACTCACTCAAGGCCACATAGTGGGTGAGTGAGAAACAGATTCCTTGCGTCTCCTGCTTGGGGCTTGTTGACCCGCAAACTCCAGACAAACCCCCCTTCATAGGAGCATAGCACCCCTGGAGACGCCCAGCTTGAGCCTACAATGGAGCTATCTAGACCTTCTGGGCCAAAGTGATAGGGCTGCAGGGAGGGCCGCCCCCCGCCCCAGCCCCCAGCTCAGCCATGAGGATCTGGGTCACTCTGCCTGAAAGAGGAAGAAGTGGTTTTGCTCATGTTCCGGTGGGAGGGGAGGGCAACAGCCAGCACACATCCGGCCCAGTGGATCCGTTAGGCACAGGTTCCTACACTCAGGGCCCACAATGTACGTAAAGGCCCCCAAAATGTTTTAATTTTTTTAAAATCAGGAGAAAAAAAATGAATATAATAATGAATATATAAGAATGAGGGCGACGCAGTTGTAAAATATAATTTTTAATGGTTTGGGCTTTTTTTACAGAAGTCATAATGTGGCCCTTTGCGCACGGTGAGGCCCGGCCTGCCCAGGCTCAGCTCTGCTTCAGGCTGCCTGTGCTGTTCCCTCCACCTAGAGCAGGGTGCCCCCCGGCCCTGATCGAGTTGACTCCTCCTACCCGTCTCCAGATGCCCCTTTTTACAGATCAGTTAGGCCCCCTCTGGGGATTTATGCAACTCCAGGCCCCTCTTCCTGACCGAATTTCTCACTCTTCATTACTCACTAGATTATAGATGCCGGTAGAGTGGGGTCTCTTCTCTATTCCCTGAGGATATGGCACACAATAGGTGCTCAATAAAGGCTTTCGAGGTCTGGGTGGAGCAAGGGTGCCCTCCACCTGCAGCTCAGTGGCTTTGTTGGTGCTCAGACAGAAGGCGAGAGGGGTCGGCCAGGTCCCGCCCTGGGGCTCACCTGCTTAAGGAAACAGGAACTGCCTCAGGGCGGTGGCCCCGCCCCACTGACGTGCAGACCCTGAATTGAAACCTAGGCTCCTACAGGCACGGGGACAGCCAGAGCGAGGGCCTTCCAGGTATGTTCCCTGGGTGGGGACTCCTCAGTCAGCCATGCACCCACCTCTGTGCCTGCCCCATGCTGGGTGAGGCTGGGGCCACCAAGAGACTCAGCCTCAACCCAGCTCTCTAAAGGACAGAGCATGGGGGCCAGACTGGGCCAGAGGGAGGGACAGGGCTGTTGGGGACCAGAGATGCATGAGGAATTTTCTGGAGACACCAGAAGGTGACCATTGAAAAATGGAACTAGAATTGAGAAAAAGGCATTCC